AAAAAGGAAGAAGGAACAACACTGCAATACGTAGGTATGAAATTGAGGTGTGTGAAAGGTTGAGCCATGCATGTTACTTACACATACTGATGCTTGTGGGAGCCTGCTGATAATACCTCTGGGTAAATTTACCCATTTGCCAGTTTGAACCGCCCACTGCTTCCTCATTCTAGTTCACACCTGTTAACAGATGAGTTCCTACTCGTGTGTGATTTAATTTAAAAGGCATTTATTTTCTGAGGATTTTATGTAATACTTGATTGTTCAGGATTCTGGATTCTCATTGAAAAAATTTTACACTTCTTAAAAAACCTGTAATTGAACCAGATAAACTAAGCAACCTCCTGGGTATGACTTTGCTACAAAACCACATTAACAGTAAGAGGTAATCAGATTACAAACAATTCTTTTGAGATTGAATTAAGTGGATGGATGCAGAAAGAAAAGTTTCCAAAAGTATAAAATAGAAAGGTTAACAATGTTTAGCAGCTGCTACTTACCTCCTGCATTCCTCTCATAGGTCTTCCCTTTATGTGACCTACCTCTTTATTTCCTTTATAAACTCCTATTTATCATCTTTTTCCTTTCTTCTTTCCTTGTGCTCTGACGTAGCACCTTTTGCACTCCTTTCCTTTCACCTTCCCATATATCTTTCCTTACTTGTGTCCTTACTCTATTCTATCTGTTGTTTCTTTCCTTTGATCAATGTAAACTGCATCCCTTTCTTTGATCTTTCATACATCCCAGTGTCTTCCCTTAATTCTTTGTCTTTTCTTCTTAATTCACTGTTTCATCCTTTCTTTCTTCCAGTTTGCTTGTCCCAGGTTTCATATTTACAGATTATCCCCTGTAAAATTATCTGCCATAAATTCATAGTCAACACTTGTAGTTCATATTTTAAAATTGAAGCATTACGATTCGTTTAATCTGAAGTTTAGACAGCTATAAATTTTCTACAGGCAGAACATTTTTTGTACACTGATAAATTTGACTTCTGTTAGCATTTCAAATGTAACAGACCACTATCTATTATGACCTTTGACCTCGCACAAGCGTGCGCCCATTACCATGAGACTACAAGGGACTCTGAGAAAGCTGCATTGATCCGGATGAACGACTAAAGCATCACAAAAAAGAAAAGAGAAATAGAAGAGAGTAGGAAGAGGGGAAAAACAAGTCAAGCCAAAGTTAAATGAAAAATTGCTTACATACACGTCTTGCACGGTCTGGAACATTTATTATTCTGAGTCACACAGGGAGAAAAGAGGTGGAGGAGAGTAGAAGAAGAGAAGAATCCATTTGGTAAAGTAGATGCAGATCGATGGGAGTGGAGGCAGGCAGGCCAGAGAGCGTCACAGGAGAAGCGTGTGTTTTTGTCAGTACCTGTGATGTGTGAGTGGCTGCTTGCGTGCATGAGGCGTCCCAGATTACTTTTCCTGATTGATCCAGCCCAGCATCCGTCTGACCCGCAGGACATTTCAGAGGCTCGGAAGAGGCTGTTGGAGGTGGAGCGATGGTGAGATCGAGAGACGGCCCGGAAGAAAGGGAGAGGAGAGAGAAATATAAAAATCAATAGCGCAGAGAGCATTACACGCAACCCAACCGGCAGAGGAACTGAGATAGTAAAGTCATATTAATCTCTTTGTGTCTCAGTTGGTTTGATAGGAACTGCAATTCAGAGTCACTAAAGAAGGCCAGGTGACAAGTTTTGGGGTGCAGAGAAAGGGGGACATGTGCTTTCTCTGCAATTGATTTAGGGTCAGGATTTAATTAAAAGCAGAGGAAAAATGATGGATATTACCTAAGATGATAAAACAAAGTCTATTAACACAGATCAGTTGAATACTGGCTTCATTTTGTAGCTTCAGGGCAGTTTGTCTATCTGTGAAGTGATCCTGCATCACAACTTCTGCTCTGCAGTCTCCCCAGCCTCCATCTATCCTAGCCAAGGCAGGGTAAATTGATTGTCTAAGCTCTGTATGAGTAAGGGAGAGAGGGAAGCTTGCATCAGGCCAGCAATAATAAAATGGCAGTTTTATTGACTAAAAGCAGACGAGGAGTGACATCGCTGACCATACTGGTTGGAAGGAAAGCAGAATTCCTCTCAACTATGATCATGTTAAATTTCAGTCTAAATGTGCTCCAGGTGACTTTGCGTGATGCTTTTGAAAATTGAATTTTTTTTTTCAAATATTACAGAAAAGCAAATGCTCCTTCTCTCTAGGCAGAGAAGGTTTCTCCTATTTTGACTGCAGTGCCCAGATCCCACTGGCAGGAAGCCCAGGGAGACAGGAAGCACTTTTGTGCCATCAAATATTAATGACGTTATAGAGTGTATTGATTATATAATAACTTTTTTCAGCATCTGAGAGCCGACTGAAATGTATTCCCTAAATAATTGAAAATGTATCCATGAGCGGTTTTTCATCTCAGTGGTTGGCTGGTGTAATTGTACTGCAGATTCTATCTGAAGCAGCACATGTGTGTTGTGTCATAAACCTAAGGATAGTGAGCATAAGAAAGAAGTGTGTGAGTGTGTATGTGTCACCTGTAATTTTTTTGTTTTAATCAAATATTTCAACACATTGTATCCAAAGATGGTGAAAATGACATGCACAGACATAAGCTCACCCTTTAAGAAACATAAGCTTCATTTTTCTGACATTTTGTACCCCTGCTCTACATCAGATGTTGGAAATGAGACCCATATGCATCTGCTTGCTGCTTTCTATATGTTTATCATCGCATTTTTAACATACAGCCAAAACTCTGCTCTGTCTGCTGGCTGCAGCACGCCACTCAGTATGTAAAGTGATGGCTTTGCAGAGTGGGTGAAAATTGTGTTTGATGTTTCACCTCTGCCTAACATTTCCTTTTTTCAGGGTAGCTTATCAATCTTACATTTAATGTATAAGATAAATCATACATACACATGAATTTTCCTTTGGTGCCATAAATTTTCTCCTGATTTAAGGAATGTTGGCCAGTTATGCTGTACTGTATTTATTGGCTTTAAATTCAGATCAGGCAGGACATGTTAGCCCCTTGGGATTTAAGTGTAAATGCCATCGTTTACACTGAACTCCATCATTTGGTAATTTGTAAACCTACAATTTAAATATACATTCTACACACCACTGTAATTAAAAAAGGAGACCAGAATAAACAATCAAATCTTTTTTCGTTTCTAATATTACCTGTAGTCTTTAAAACTGAATTAATGAACACATTGAAATATTCAGCTCATGTCTGCTGCTGTGTAGTGTAATCACCTTTAATGGCCATTTCCTTGCATTTTCTTTTAAGTCACATCTCGCAGAAAAAGCCACGGTCTACTAAGACCTTTTGAAGAGCCAGAGGGATCTCGCCGTCAAAAGAGATCAGTCAGGCGAAAGGTAGAAGTCATTAGATATAATACTGAACACAGTGTACACAGTCATAATCAAGTGATGCAACAGTGGCATTAGCAGTATGCCAAGGATGTCCCCTGAAGTCACATGAAAAGTTGAGATAAAAACTAGATTTTTCTTGGCTAGACATGGTTGCGTGGCATTTGTGAAGGATAAGTAAAATATCCGTCATATCTTTAGGTAGGGGGGCTATAATAAATTTGGCAAACAATTAAAGTTCAGCTAAACTAATGAGAAAACCTTTATCTACAAGATGATTGTGAAATGCTCTATTAAGAAAATACCCTCACAATCTAAAGTATTTGGATTGATTTTGGAAAGAAGACTAGGCATATATTGCCATGCATGCTGATAGAGCCCCCACCTGAAAAGACTATTGGCTCTTATAAAATCAAAGGAAACCTCACACAATATTTAAGAGTGACCTGGTCGCTTGATGTGGTTTTAGCTCACATAGGAACCAGACAATGGAAAAGCTTTGAAAATATTTATTCTGTCTCTTTCCGTTGTAACAGAGGTGTGTGGATTATTTTTTTTCAATTGTAAGTCTCTTGTGCACCAAAAACAAAACATGTGAAATTTAAACAAATTTAAATCTTCACAACCATTTTGTCCCAATCAATTTTCTCTCCAACCCAATATCGACAGTTATCCTTTGACCCTCACCACATTAAAACTAGAGGTGGCTTGGATGATTTGTCTTTATGGTAATGCCAAAAATATCTCAATATTTACCTCCACCTGTCAGCTGGGAAGCGTCTTGTCTTCCTTTCTACCTTGACCTCTCCGCCCCTTCCCATCCCCTTCCCTCCTCTCTAACTGACAGTTCATTCTCATTTAGACCTCCATTATGCATTCCTGCCTTAGTTTACAAGACACATTGACAACAGAACATGTACAGACTCCGTCTCCTCTCTCCCACTCCTGCCTTCCCTGCCTTTGAACAATTGGAAGTGTCTTCCCTGTTATTCAACCCTTGCCTTTTTATTCGTCCTCCCAGCTGATTCCTCACTCCCGCTCCTCGTCTCTCTGAAGGAGTAAATGAAGGCAGAGGTCATACCTCCTTTTTTCCTCCCCTCTCGCTAAATTGGCTCTTGCAGCTTCCATAGCTAGCTATGGGCGTTTAAGCTCCTCTTCACTCTGGAAAGCCAGTGAACGCAGTTCCTGCTCATTTGTGGAGCTTCTGTCTCTTCAACCAGGGGCTTGTTTACCCTCAGAGAACAAGAGGGAAGCCCTCATTATAAACCCCAACCAAGGTCATTGCAGTCACAACACTAATCCGAAAGCTTCAATAAACACATTTAGCAGCAGTAATTTTAAAAATGTACTAAAAAAATGTCTTCCTCATTCTCATTTCCATTTTCATTCCTATAAAACATGCTCCTGAGCTAAATGTCTTTGTTGTAGTTTTACTGGTGACTATGAAGATACAACAGTGTATAAAGAAATGCAACATCCTTAACACCCTCACCACCCCCCACCCCCCTCCTTCCTCTTCCCAATCCCACCATAACCCTAAACTTTGCAAAATAAGTGTATGATGTTGACGGCGGGCTGTGCGTCCCTCCCTCCCTGTGCTCCGCTCCATAGGGGACGACAGAGACACAGTGGCGTCAGGCAGAGCTCCCACAGCTCCAGGGCTGGGCAGAGAAGGGATTGCTGACACAGCCAAAGATGGTAAGGAGACTATTTCTGCCAAATGGATGGCCCAGCCATTTTATACACTCATGAAGTGATATGATCTGATATTTAACTGTGTACATATCTGGGCACTGGTTGGGGATGCTGCTGACTGAGACAGTTGGAACTGCTACAGAGATTGATGGACAAGGCTTTAGAGTGAAAGAAGCAGAGAGGATTGCTGCCAGAAGAAGCTATTTCTGCTGCTGGTGTTTTCATCATTTGTACTTATTTGAAGGGGTTCAGTAGATAACAGCACTTATTTTTCTTGATTTTAATAACATCTGCATTGAAATTTTAATTCATAGCTTTATATTAATGCTTTAGCAGTTAAACTTATTCACACAGGTCTGCCGTGATTTATAAGAGAGTCATTTCTTCCTATAAAACACGTAGAAACCAAATCAAGTTTTTACCTAACTTTCTCTGCATTCTCTTCCTGGTTTTTAGCACTCAAGTACTTTTTAAACCTTTGTCTGTATTATGTTTCTCCTATTCACAGTTTTTTAAAGCTTTGACTAAACTGCTGTGCATTTGTAATTGAAGGTCTTTTTATTTTCAAAGAGCAGAAAAACAAACAGATTTGTAAATATTCAATCTCACACAGCGCTGTTCAGATCTATCTTCCAGAAATAAAAGTACACAGCACAACTACAAATCTACCAATATATGGCCTTTCACATAGCTGACAATCTGAGAAAAGAGGGTGTTAAAAGAAATAGCCAGAGGGATTCATGGTAATTGTGGAGGAGCTGCAGAGATGCAGAACATCAGTAACACAATTTGCCAACAGGTTATCTAGACGTCGCTCTCTGTTAAGATAAAAAATTACTAGGTGTCATGGAGGTAACCTTGGCATCGACAACCAGCCCATATTAAATCATGCTTTGGCAGCATCATGCTGTCAGAACAGAGACATAACAGAGAAGCTACTGTAGTCAGAGTTTATAGGTTAGTCTTTTTAAATGACAGTAGAGTCAGGGCGTACAGGTGGAGCAGTGGTTACCCATTTACGGAGGCCTTAGTCCTGGACTTGGCTGACCCGGGTTCGAATCTGACCTGTGATCCTTTACCGCATGTCTCTCAGCCCTCTCTCATACCCCCTTTCCTGTCAGCCTACTGTCAAAAAAATGACCCGCTAGTGCCGTAAAAACTCAAAAAAAAAGTGACAGGACAGTCCTATTAGAAGAGCAACAGCCCTAAACAGACAGACAGAGGTACATTAAAATTAATTTAAAAAAGCATTTAGATGTGTTAGAATTACCCAATCAAAGTCTTAACATTAAAACAAATGAAAACTTTTAGCAGAATTTATATTACGTGTAAAGGAAAGAAATTTTACTTGTACATGTGCAGAGCCTGTAGGGATATAGCCCCTTGTAGACTTGGAGCTGAAATTGCACCAAAATGTTATTCTATTGCCTCCATGTCACAGATGGTTTATTACATAAATTCCCCATAAAATACAATGACATGTGGTGGTTTTAAAGAATACAATGTAAAATATTGAAAGTAGAAATCCATAAAAGGTCTTTAAACTCAAGGCCTGTTTAGTTTTAAGCATGGTTTATTTTTTTAAGATGATGCTTTTAGGGTGATACAAAAAGTATTGTCAAATTTTGATATAAAGTTATATTGAAAAATATTAGGTCACCCTTGTTTTTTGTTGTTGTTCATTTTTATATATCTTTAGAGCAAAAAATAGAAGAAAACAAAGGATGTCTTATAATACTTTTTCTAGCAGCTACTTACTTTTACATGTGCTGCTTGTCCCATGCAGGCCTTGAATTATAACTTCTAGGAATAAAGCTCCAAGAGGGCTGTGTTTGTGCACAGTCAGCAAGACATAGATGCAACGAATTGTGTCTCCAGCACCAGGCTCCACAGTGGGAGAGCAGAGGCAGCTGGAGTGTTCACAACCAACATGAAGTGGACCACTGAGCAGCACCAACGCTGGTGGGCAGGGATGAGGAGAGCAACATAATTGGCTGCTGAGACTCGGCAGGTCCCTGTTAATTAGAGGCAGCCATTTTGGTGTAAAAACTCCTCAGAATATGTCCCATTGAGTTGAAAGTCTCTCTGACAGAATGGTGCTCAGCAGGGAATGTAAACAGATTTAATAAGGCCCTCTCCAATCGACTCTGTTATGGCTACAGTAGACGCCATTCTCCCCTCCCTCTTCGTCTTTCTCAGCCTGTCTCAGTATCTCTGTTGTGGCAGAGCGGTGAGTGAGCAGGGAAGGATACTGTCAAAAGAACAATTTGCACGCAGCGCTCATCTTAAGAGCTTTTAGACATTTCCCTGTCTGTTTGTTTTCTGCTGTGGTCCTGAGCCATTGTTCCCTCGCTGTATGCGTGTGCTGCCTTTTGAGTGCATGGTCTTCCACTCACTGCTAATGCATGGAAAACCTTTGCTTGCCTTTGTGTATTTGGAAGAGGAAGCAGAGATGAGGCATAGACTGATGGCAGAAAAACTATCCTCACTTTAAAATTGTTCTACAAATCAGGGAGAAGATGGATATTCTACCTCCTAGTCAGTAAAATTGCTGATGGAGGTATTTTGGGGAGATGGATCTGGCAGAGTTAAAACAGACCCTCAGCTTTTTAACATGCATTTTTAGGGTTATATTGTTAATAGAAAACAAGACAAAGATTTACAATAGGTTCTTATCCATCCATTTTCCATCATGCTTATCCAAGGTGGGGTCGCGAGGGGTGCTGGTGCCCATCTCCAGCTGTCTACGGGCGAGAGGCGGGGTACAACCTGGAGAGGTTGCCAGTTCCAAACCAGCAATGAGGAACTGCAGAGGGGGTTTATATATGGAGACCAGAACAAAGGATGGGATAATGAGCTTAATATGGAGCAGGTGTGAATAGAACTATCTAGAGGGGAGCCAAAGGGAAAGGAAACATTCACAAGGGGGCAACAGAGAGTAACCCTGACAGTAATATTTGGATGGATGGATGGATGGATGGATGGATGGATGGATGGATGGATGGATGGATGGATGGATGGATGGATGGATGGATGGATGGATGGATGGATGGATGGATGGATGGATGGATGGATGATTGGATGGTCAGTTGTCAGCAGACAGTCAGTAACAGGGAAAATTCATAAAACTAATAAAAACTATAAAACCATAAAACTAACTAATTGCTAATAAAGATAGGTGTTTGTGGAAATTAGGTGGAAGGCATACATGTGGTTTAAAAAGTGCTCACAAAATACAAGAAGAGCACAAACTGTTTGGGGCTCATAAGGTGTTGGTATAACTGGAAGACAAGAGATATTAGCGTCTTATATGAGCAAAGGAGAAAAGATGTCTGCTCAGAGGTCAATTTTTTTTTCCTTCTCCAGTGAAATTTTTATTCCCTTTTATTTTAAAACCAATGTCCCAGACTAGATGGAAAGTTAAAAGGGAACAGGCTCCATGCTGTCTGTGTTGTAGTGTGAAGCTAACAGATTTAGTGAAGATTTGTGAATGATATCATCTGTTTGTTTTTCTTGGTCTGCTGTGTTTTCTCAAATTCAAAGGCAGAATAGGTGTCTCTCAAGGAGTTTCCCTCTTCCTCCACTGCCTGACCGTCAGATACTTGGGTTAATGAGAATGTATCACTGTGTTTGATTAATATCTATCAATTCTGAAGAGAGGTAATGGAGTATTGTCCAAACGAAAATGAGAAACCAGACGCAGCAACGCAGATGATTTGAAGGGAGCTATTAAGCTTCATTTGCTTCCTGAAAGCCTCAGAAGAACCTCCATGCCATGCTGCATTAATGCTGTAATGCATGAGGAGGCAGCTCTGACCGAGTTCTGGGTGCAGTTATTCTACAGTTCAGGTCATACTTCTCATTTCCTTCCTCAAAATCCCGTTTGTTTGTCTTATGGAAGATTCTAAGTTTCTTTAAAACTGAATTTGGGGTTATCATCAGCTGTAAATAATAATTAAGAGGATCATAACCACATTTGAGATGCATTACCATGTTTTTAACAAAACCTGTTTTAAATATGAGTTGAGATAGAATTAATACAATGCATTAACTGTATATGAAATACCCTTTTTTGTTGTACTTACAGATCTTAAACACCTCAGAATTCCTGTCTATTAAATCACATAGTCTGATGTAAAATTAATTGCATCATGTATACATGCATGGACAAAAGGGAGGCGATTAAAACCAACACTGTAGGTGTGTGATTGTTTTTTTTTTTTTTTTTTGCTTTCCTCTTAAAAACTATTTCTGGAGTTAGAAAGAAATTTTTAAGTTGCGCTTTGAGCTATATTATTAGAACACAGGCCCCGCCTTTTGATAATCCAGAAATAGAGAGAAGCAGGACTTGTCGTTTCTCCTTTGCTAAAACCAGCCTGCTTCCACATGCAGCCTTTCTGCTCGTACTTAGGGATAGGTAAAAATAGAACGAAAGCTGAATCTTGGAAAAATGTAATGGAAGAGAGCTGAGAGATTAGAGGATGTTTGCATCGTTGCTCTTTGGTCTCATATTGTTGGGTAATTAGATGCTTTTGCTCTTCTGTCACAAGACATGATTACACCTTGTTCTAGATTTATTTTTCATGATTTTTGGTGCAGAATCACCACCAATACAGTCCAACAGAGGAACACAGGATTGAAAACCTTTAGTGAAAATAGTCTCCATTCTGGGTTATGCATGAGTTGATATGTCTCATAAAACTCTGTTTGTGGTTTCTCTAAAAGTTGAACTAAACAAAAAAATTTATTTTTTTTTTTCAGAAGAAAGCAAAGTGGAAACCACAAACATTTGACTCTCGCGACCGTAGTCACTCTATAAAACCCTTTTATGCAAAGATGCTCAGTAAGAAGCCCCCTATACCAATATGCAAACCTCCCTCTGTCACAGCAGCAGCATCAGCGAACAGGCTGGAAGCTGGAGGGCGGCCCCTGTTGCCATCCTCTCCTGCAGTCCTCAGCAGCCATCAGAACTATCAAAAGATTAAGACGGATTATTACCTGTTTAGATTCTTTGTGTCAGCTGTGTTGATGAATGTTTGGAGATATTAAATGTGTTTGCAGCATCATTATGGTATTTTTTACTGTATATTTATACACAGAAGGACACTTTTATACAATCCAATAAGTTATTTAGATTTCTTACTAAAGACTCCATTTATTAGCATTAAAATTGATGGGTTCCAAGTTATAAATATTATAAAGGATGACTATATATGACACTGTAATGTGCATGATATTGAAATGCATGCACATGCCATAGATATTTTTTACATTTTTGGGGCTTTTTTTAAAATCAATTATCACTTGATCTTCTTTAAACTGCCTTCTAAGTAGGTGTTTTTAAATGAATAACAAGTATTAAATTTTTGCTTTTGAATTAGAGAAATAGAATGAGACCTAAATTTAGGTGTCAGCTTCAAGAATTAAAAAACAATCTGAATGCACTTCAGCTACAAACTATTTGCCAGTGATCACAGCCTCCTTATGCGTTAACAGATGAAACCTGTCTTATATAAACCTCTAACTAGCACCTGGTGTTCCTTTTTTGGGTTTGAAGTGTGAAGTGTTGCCATGCCAAGATTTACAGAGCTTTAGAAAAGCTTTAGGGAATATCATCTATGAAAGTAATCTTTCTACTTGAAATAAAATCACCTTTTGGGAAAAATAGGTAGATTCAGGCAAAGAACAGAAGATACCAGCGTTTATCCAGCTAAAAACTCTGTAGAGCGGCAGAAAATGCTGCATCCATACAGGAAATACTGCTGCTGTTATGTAAAATTAATGCAACCTTAGAAAAAAATGTCAGGAACAATACTGAACTGTAGTTTGGAGCTACATACTACATCCAAGAACTTTCTTATCAATGTATTATATATAACTTAGGCAGATAGTCATCAGTTTAACAGAATAATGTCTGAGGCATTTAAAATAACATTGGCCTAGCTTTTAAATTTGGCAGTTAAATCGTGGAAGATCAAGTGTTTTTGGTTTTCCTTTTCCATTTTACTGGAAATCTGTGTGGGGGTCATTTCGTAAAAAAAAAACATATACATTTTATGTACATTTTTTGTTGTATTTAGATGGTTGCATAGTCTTTTTGTGTCTGAAACGTAAACGCATTAATATTATGAATGTCATCTTTTTCCATCTCTTTCTTATACACTGTCCTTTCTCTCTGATAAACATCTCCCCATCTTCTCTTTTCTCCTCCTGCTTTTTCCTTGCAGATCATCAGTAACATGGAGGCTCCAGTGACAAACGGCCCCAGCGGTGGAGGCAACACAGCCAACGGCCCGAACACCAACAGCCGTGGCTGCCCCTCACCAATGCAGACCGGTCCAACAAACGACGACAGCAAGACGAACCTCATAGTAAACTACCTGCCTCAGAACATGACCCAGGAGGAGTTCCGCAGCCTGTTTGGTAGCATCGGTGAAATCGAGTCCTGCAAGCTAGTTCGTGATAAGATCACAGGTATGAAAATAATAAAGAAAAGCACACAATTACATTTTAACTTAGGTCCTTCAAATAGCAGATCTGAAGCTTTAAATTTGTAAAAACACTCATTTTAATAAATAATATTTAGCCATTTGTAGGTAAATGTTTAGAAATGAATTGTAAGCAAATATAGGTACTTGTTAACTCTTAGTTTATCAGTACATGGGAATGCTGTGTATATATCAAATTTACTGCGTAAACATAATATCATCCTTTTATGATATAATCTATTGCTAACACTAACAGGGTCACCTGTTTATTTAGATCTAACGATTCTATCCTAAAACATGTGGATCCTCTTAAATATTATATCTTTTCAGAAGGTAAGGAATTATGATATAAAGAATAAGGGGTGCTTTAGCTGGGAAAATAAAGAAATTAGCTGCCATGGATGCATTTATTTCATCAGCATTTATAAAATCCTGCCAGCTGATGTTAGAAGTAGAGCCTCTGCAGAGTATGACATGCAAAACCCACATGGCAGCTGCAGCAAAATTCTTAATATGTTTTGAATTTGTGAATGAAGTTCTTCAGCATTACTGATACAGGTTGCAATGTGTTTGGTCACATAAAAACAAAGTTTGAAAGGTCTGCGTTAAAGTTTATTTTAATAGATAATTTCATTATCTTGAGTCTCTTTACATTCTGTATGCAGAAAATATATATTAATGATGAAGATTGATATCACTTACAGATTTTTTCAAAATAACTGCAACAGTTTAAATCATGAGTACTCATATGGCAGTCCTGTGTCTTTACAGTTACTTCTTGGCAATTGCTGAGCTTCATAAATGCTTCTTTATTTTTTTATTCCACTCTTAGGTAACTTTAGATGTATACATTGTAAAGCATTTGATGTGAATTAAGCTAAACAGCCTATAATTTTCTGCATTGCTTTGTTCCCTTATCCCCTTTATTCACCTTTTTGATAATAGTTTTATTTTAGAGCAATGTCTCGAAAGACAATTTTTAAAAAAAGGCGAGTTTATTTTAAACAGCATATCAAAGAATCGGCATAAAAACATTTATTAAAAGAAAAACACGGTTGAAACAGTTTATTAGTGAGATTGTTCAGTCACAAGCATAAACTACCAGGGTTTTCCATCCTGCATTATATGAACCATCAGTTTCTACACAACATTTTAAAGGTTTGAGAAATATAGAGACTAAATGCTGCCTCACCTTGTTTAGTTTTGCAACCGGGAAAAGAGTAGGCAAGTCTCTGAAGGCATGAGGTTCAGCATGGCTTATAACTGACAAGCAGTCCAAGAGCATTTAGTGTTTCATGGTCTAATAGCAGAATGTTCAAATCTGCTCTGGAGCCAGTGAAATAAATAAGAACTGGTGGGATTTACAGAGAGTTAGCATGAAAAAAACTTTTGGTTAAATTAAATTAAATATGGTTAAAAGGAAGGTTTCCTTGAGAAGTCCATCTTAGGCTAAAAAGCTTCACTTTTAATCAAAAGTATTTCTTGGATGTAACTTTAGGGTTGAGCTTCAAAGCTGTTTTTGTTATAAATTCAAAGACTTTCTGCACACACTTGAATTCAATACACATATAGATTTTTTTTTCTATTTAATTTCCTTTCAATTTTATTTGTACTGTCAAAACACAAGTACCCTAGTGTTAATTGACTAAAAAAAGCGCTCCTTTTTAGCAAACAGTTTATACCCCTGACCACATTGAAAGATCGATGGTAAGTAAAACACTGCCTTTGTTCAATGTGTTTATGTGCACAAATGTTTTAGAAATCTGCTGAAATCAGATAAAACATAGCATCATAAGACTTGTGTGTAAGCCTTGCGATTCAAGTGTTTGAGTGGATTTGTTTTATGGGATGCGTACGGCGTCCTTGTCCTCAGTTTGTTGAAGCAGGCGACTCAGCCGTGCAGCAAAGTGCCACATGTTCTCCAGAGGTGTTTAAATTAAGCAGCACTTTGCAGTCCTAATCACGGCTGTAATCTGGGCGTAGTGGCTGTGTGGGTGGCCATGCAGCAGATGGATCTTCGGTGAGGAAGGGGGTGGGGGGGTGGTGCGGCTTTCTGATAATGCTCCATAATGGCTTTCATTTTAGATCCTACTTACTGACACTCTACTCCTGATAATCTCATTAAAGAGTACCAGGCAGGCAGGCAGGCAGGCAGGATCACCAAGCTATGGGATAGCAAGCAGGCCGAGCATGATGGGAAAGAAACACACCCATTTACAGATACGTATGTAAGCTAAATCATTAAATTTGATTCCCTCTCAACTAAAAGTCCATGACAGTTTGACTGTTAAGCGGGAACGGCAGCAGGCCGAGCAGTGCTGCCTCCTCCAGGGCCCTCGTTCTTTGAAGCATATTTCTGCTGCTCCACGGCTCCTCTTTAGGACCATCTTCCTCTTATGCCATAATGGGTCACAAAATGGAGCCTGAGAGTTGGATACGTCAGGATAATGGTGGATGTTTTGTTCAGAAATATCCCCGGGATACCACATGCTATCATCATCGCTATCACCACGTTCTCTCTCCACCTGGTTCTTTTCTTCCCCCCCTTTAAGTGTGATTTGCCAAGCAGGCACAGCGAGGAGTCGAGCGAGAAGCAGATACTTGGAGAGAGTTTGAGAAACGAACAGCATCGCTGTAAATCTGCTCCGCTCCTAAACGGGGACTGAGAGGGATGAGAATCTTTGTTCACTCTCTTCATAGCCGTTTATGGTGCTTCTCTGCTCTGCACTATAAGGACTATCTGATGACTTAGCATCAACGCAGAAAGTGTTATAAATAAATTCTGCCCTCCCTCTGTCTCCCCATGTGGTGTATGCCTGTTTTGCTCTCCCATGGGTGCAATTTTTCCATGCAAACCTTTAGGCTAACAAAGCACTGATTCCTTCCAGGAGGGAACGCCAAGAGGCTTCATGCTCTCTAACAGTCATCCAAATCATTTACAGCCTAAGCCAGGTTTGGGAGAGGGAGGGTGGGAAGTCAAAAGAGATCTCTTTTTTTTCAGATGTAAGCACACATTAGAAGCTCATTCCTCATCTATCATTAAAATTTATAAATGAATGTGTGGAAGATCGACATTTAGAGACTTTCTTCTAAGAGTGTTTCAAGATTTAAAGAGAAGACTATTTTTATAGCTATGTTGAAACTTTAGGGTTAGAGATTGCAGTAGTTCCAAATTATTCATACTGGTGGGAATTCTTTCATATTCTGTTATTCTCAGTGAAAAGTATAAGACTAGTTTTTAGAAGACTGAAAATCACTGAAATATTCACTAAAGTACTTTGATATATATTTTGTAACTAGCGGTAAGGCTGGTTTTACTAAGTAATACTTTGATCTATTCTGTATCAGCTTTTTTTTATTTAAAATGCGATCAAGCCCAGTTCAAACAATAACTGGCATGTTTCTCTGCGTATCTATTTTCCAGTGGTGTTCAAGTCCTGACTAACCTGCTGACAAGGTGTTAGCACTTGAACTTCTCAGAGGTGTGTAGGACAGACAGGTCCTCAGCATCCTTGCTACCTTCTCTGGACTTGCTCTTGTCAAATCCAATGACGCCAGGATGGCGTGAGGCTCAGGCAAGTGCTGGCAGGCATAGACACTTCAGCTTTGTCTGTCAACCCGGCTGACTTCAGCTGGTAGACGAGCCACCACTGGGTGTCTTTCTTGTTCCCTGCATGGCTGCCTGCTCGCCTACCTTTATACCTCTTTGCACAGCTACTTCTGCCTGGTGCTTTCATAAAACACCAGGGACATGCAGGTTAATCTTTATTTTAAAGTAAGCTTACTGCAACCTACGCATTTCCTCATACCTGCACTCAGACCCTGGGCTTGCACCTGTCAATTTCTGCCTATCTGTATAGATGTGAAAAAAAATCCCATATTGCATTGGAAAAGCCTTTACACTGCTTGAACTTTTCAACATTTCTAGTTTTTGGAATCTCAGACTTTTCTGTATTTTAAGAGATACATCTCATCTGAATTATATGTGTACAAATAGGGCCCAACTTTAGTTCAGAAGAGCTGGTGTCCTGCATGGTTCAGTCGCCTCCTTAGTTTTTTGTCTTTTTTACACTAGGTAGCTGAACCAGACGATCAACAGAGAAAACTTGGACCTCATATATTCAGACATGAAGCAGATAAATGGTGATTTAGAAGTAAATTAATACCATATTTGTTTTACAAATGCAAACTGGTATTACGGTATATGAGCTAATAACCCCTTCTTAATCATATAGCCAAAATTAACATCAATCAAAAGGCTGTGGAAGTCACTTAAATGGTTAAAACACTCTGAGTGCATGTCATTTTATGTGACAATAAATCCTGCTGTTCTGTGAATTAAATAGTGCTATTCCGTCTGGAAGATGAAGAAACACAACAGATTAGCCAGTGATACAGTTGTGGAGATACTTCAAGCTGTAATTTGCTATACAGTAGAACAAGTTTTATACATCTTACAGGGTGATGTTCAAATAATCATTAAAAGGCAAAAAGGGTGAGGAATAACCCATTACTTACGAAAACATGGCCGTAGGGCTGAATTGGTCCAAATAAATGGCCTGGGCATTTTTGGTTGTGGCGACCCAACATGATTAGTTATATTTTATAGGGAGACTTAGATAACGCCAAAGGACAAATGTGCACATTGACTGGTTTCAAAAATAAAATCCTATATGGTGAAAGAAATTAAGCGAAAGAAATTTAAAAAAAACTACTTGGGGAAAAAAGCTGATTAAATACTAAGTAACTGATTAAATCTTCCAATTTTTTGGTTTAAGAAAATATTCAACAAAACGAAAGGCTCTCATTGTTTTTGAGGTCCTCTAATGACGCTGTTTATGTGGGCAACATCCTTAATAGTTTGCAACACCCGAAATTGTCAACCCCTATATCTGTAGAGCATACTGTCCAGCATCTGATATTTGATAAACGTCATCTTTCTAAAAAAACGAACCTAAGCCGCTATGCTTGCAATATGCGCCAAGT